GTCTCACAGCATGAAATGTGGGTAGAATTGGAGCTTGTGGAAGCTTGAAAATTCCCATCCTATCAACATCCTCTTTTGTTTTAGACAGTGCTTCATTCTGTGTCCTAGAAGGCATTGCAGCCCTCACTGAAGGCCTGTCCAATGAGACCCTCATTCTTTTGCTAACGTGTCAGGCTGAGGGTAGGAAGGAAAACTAAGTAAAGAATCATGTGGCCTTTCTTCCGTCCTGTGGCAGTGAAAATTAAAAGTGAAGGAACGCCAGGCTTGCCTGTTTGCAAATGCCTTACAAAGTCACTTCAGGAACATCTAGTAAAAGAATCATTCAGATCCTTACAGTGTTAAAGAAAGGAAAATGTTAGAGGAGCACCCATTCTTATCTGGCTCATAGCAGGTGTTTTCATCTACCCCAGCTGCCCAAGTTACAGTTCTTAGTGCTGGAATTGTTTGCATGGGGCTCAAGTTACTGTACCCTGAAAAAGCGATAAAACAGCTCAAATCCAACTCCTCTGAAGTTCTGAATTCAATACACTGGCATCTGTACACATGGAAGGACAGTGGATGGATACAAATTGTAGAAGGAAGGTGGAATTAAACCCTTTCTACAATAACTGTGTTCATGGGTCATCTTAAATGGAAAACATGAGATTACCAAAGGTACAGCATGCCAGACTAACCTGGCATCTTTCTTTAGTAAAACAGCTAATTTTGTAGTCAAAGAAAATGCACACATTCATCCGTGACTGCACCCTCATACAGACCATAGCCATAAAATACCCTATGCAGCATACCACAGATAAAGAATAGGAAGGTCAAGGGCATGATCAGTGTCATGCTGTTGTGGTGCTGGGGAACTTGCTGTCTCTACTCAGATGATCCAAGAAAGAGAACCAGATGGCCGAAAGATGAAAGTCTGTGATCCTTTGCAATCTGACCTAGGGAGAAAACAGTTCCTTTCTGACCCCAAATCTGGAGTGAGAACATACCTAGATAGTTTGACTTCTGATGTTCAAAGCAAATTAGTTCAAGATAGACCAGATACATGCTGCTAGGATGATCCAAGCCTGATTTACCGGATGAGATTTCAAGGATTTGGCTTGAGTACTCTGGTAAACTGAAGGTTGAGAGGGGATATGATTGTTTTCTATAAACACAGGGAGATAAACACTGAAAAGAAGGAAAAGAGCTATTTCATATACAAAGACCATTGGTACAAAAACAAATGGGTATAGTTTAGCTATAAATAAATGTAGGTGGAAATAAGGAAGTTTCTAATCATCAGAGGAGTGAATTTCTAGAACAGCCTCCCAGTAGTAGTGAGGTGAAAAAACCTATCTGTGTTAACGTGGAGCTTGATCAGTTTGTGAAAGGTGTTACATGACTTGGTGTCCGAGACAGCAGAGGGCTGGATTTAATGGCCCATAAGGTCCCTTCTTGTTCTCTGCTCCAGAGAAAAGTAGGATCCAATTTAATATTTGGTTGAGTTAGCAGTGGGTAGGTTTTACTTTGCTTAAGATTTTAGAACTGGAAAGAGCTAACAGTACAATAGTGTGTCCTGAGGAGATATTGTCCGTGATTCAGCATGATGATGATTTTAATGTACCCAAGAAATGTACGTAAAGGGGGAAGTGAGATAAACCACCGACTTGGGAGTTAGATCTAGATTCCTTTCCAGTGCTGGCATTAACTTGTGTGGCACTGGTCATTTCACTTCGTCTCTTCAGTACCTTGGTCCCCTCATATGTAGGGAGGGCTACTCATAGTTTCATAGTTTTATAGTTTCTAGGGTCGGAAGGGACCTGAGCAGATCATCTAGTCCAACCCCCTGCCATGGCAGGAAAGAGCACTGGGGTTATACGACCCCAGCAAGGTGTTCATCTAACCTCCTCTTAAAAACTCCCAGGGTAGGAGCCTGCACCACCTCTCTTGGAAGTTGGTTCCAGACCCTAGCCGCCCTGACCGTGAAGTAGCGCCTCCTGATATCTAACCTAAACCTACCCTCTGCCAGCTTGTGACCGTTATTCCTGGTCACTCCTGGCGGTGCTCGGGGGAACAGTGATTCCCCCAATGCCCCAATGCCTGCTGATCCTCCCTTGATTCATCTTAAGGCTCATGCCTCTGAAAGCCTTCGGGAGTCTCAGATGTGTTAGGGAAGTGCAAAGCATTAGTATAAGGAAGCACTGCACTAGTACTCATCCCAGCTCAAGACATAGGCAAACAGTCAGTCATTTAAATGAAACATGTCATACAATTTATCCAAAACATTATTTGTAAGTATGAGTTGAGTTTCTTCAGCATTTCAGTTTTGTGAATAAGATTTAAAAACATTGAATGAATGAATTAAGGCAAACAGCATGGAATTCATTTAAGAAATTATTCAATAAATATTATGTTTACTATCTCTAAGGCTTCTGAAGGACATGCCTGTAAGACATGCACTGTAGACCCCTAGACCCAACAATCAGTCACCATAACCCTTCACCACTTCTCCAGGCCAATTATTGCTTAGCTACCACAGTGCAATTTCTAAGCCTGGGCCAATGATGTGCTGAGGATCTGTATGGTACTAAGTATTTTCAACTCTGATTCAATTTTTTGGGACCTGAGGATTTTCAGCCCCTTGCAGAGGGAACTCTGCACCACAAACACAGGCTTATAACATCTGCTTTTAAATTAAATACATTTTAATGCTTGAAGTTGCCCTTCATATGGGTACATTAGGTTCAATGCCACCCTACTGAAGGCTTGATATCGATGTCCCCTTATCAAGGGATTCCCTTATTTCTCTTTCTTTCTTTTTTTTTCCTGTTATGAGATTACAGACAATCTGGCTTTAACAAGTGTATTGTGAGTCCTAGAAAGGCCTATACCTCAGAGATTTGTAGACAGAATATTTTTTCTTCACTTGGCTCTTGATTTAAAATAGATGAGTTGTTTTTATTAGCAGTGTGTTTAGGTTTACTAGTCCATTGAGGCTGGATGTATTTCAGGAACCTGTAACTCCATTATGAGAAGATACTACTAGCTATTGGTCTTCTGCCTTTAGAAAGAGGCAGAAGTGTGGTCAAGTGATCTGAATATAGGACACAGAGAGTCAGACTTCTGACTATATGCCCTGTCTCTGACTGACTTCTTCTTCAACTTTGGGCATGTCTCCTTCAATTTCCTCATCTGTAGAAAGTGAATAAATGATCTTACCTTATTTTGTGGGGATGGGAGGAGAGAGAAATAGTTAATGATTGTATTGTGCTTTGCAGATGAAAAGCACGGTGGAACAGGATCACATTTAGATGTATAGATCAAGTTAGGGTGCCTAGTAGGTAAAACAAGATCAGGCCCGATTGGCTTCATTTTCCATGTACATTGACTCTGGTAACAGATGGGTTGAAATGCCAAGTCTTCATTACAAGTCTGTGGCATTTGGCCTCAAGCAAGGGTGTAAATAAGGTCCTTAAAATCTATTGACTGAACTGTCTGTGGTGACCTGAATGCTCATGTATCCTTGCGGTGAGAACTTATGCAGTGGTTGTAAAAGATTTACTGCAAAAGCACTTACCACACAGGCAACTTTTTACTAGACATTTTTTACAGGATGAACTTGTAAAAGTGGAGTCAGAATCTCGTAACAGTTACCAGTCCCTGTGCTCTTACATAGTTTCTATGATGGGTTGTCTTCTCTCTGCCTTGCACTGTTAACTTAAATGGAGTGGTTGCAGAATCGGGTCTCTTGCCTTCCAAGCTGACATTGGGATTTGGAAGTGAACCCATATCAGCCATATCTAAAAATGGCTCAGGCTGGTGAATTAAAGAGTGGGGTTTGAAAAGGAGCTCCAAGAAGGAACTAATTGGTGCATGTGAAGTTATCCCTTCCTAGCATGGTCACTGAATTCAGTTCACTCATCCTGTCTTATTGCTCGGTGCTGCATTCATTCAGTGGACAAAGAATAAGCACAGCTTATTACCCCATTAAAAACATCAATATTCTCATTTAGATGTGCAGGGATTATGTTTTACGTGATTAGTTCTTGTGGACATTAATTAACGGGTTTTGGGAGATTCAGTAACTCAAAAGACTACTAATGGAAAGAAGCACCTTTCACCTCTAAGTCACTGTGATGGCCCAGTTCAAAAGAAACTGAGTGCTTCATATAAGGGATATCCATTGGGGCCTGTAGAAAATGAGCCTGGTTACCTTAGTCTGATTTCTAGTGAATAGGTGCCTGGATCATGAAACCCATCACCACAATCAGCACTAAACTGGAACTCTCAGTAGACAGAGCAAGGACTGAATTAGCTATCGAGACAGATGCTCCCCTTCAGGTCTGGGTTGGGACGAATTGGTAACGTGATACAGTTCCATGCTTCACTTGCAGTGTGGACAGAAAATTGCAGAACCCAGTGGTGGTCCATTTGTCACAAGCAATAAATTCATGTCACACGCACCATGTTAATTGAAAAGCTTACGAAAATTACAATCTGGACTTGTATGCAAATTCCATACACCATTAAAATATCCTTTTTTTGCTGAGTGAGCTATGGTATTGTACTGTAGCTAAAATTCTTCAGCAAGAGGCCATAAATACAGTATGACATGGATAGGGACTCCAGGTCATATGCTCTGCTATCTAAAGTATACATGAAAGCCTAGTCTTTTGGAAAGCATGTGTGTGCATAAGTGTGGTGTAGAAGTGATGTGGTGGTGTGGCTTATTATATGTGTTGGGTCTGATCCTGAGAGATGCTGAGCCCCTGCAAATACTGTGCACTTCAGCACCTCTCAGCATTAAGCCCACAGTGATCACAAACAGTATATTCTGTCTGTGTAAATCACTGCAGTTTGGATTAATGTATGATTACTGCATATGGGGGGAGGCAGTTATAATGATACTGAATGGGGAAGAATTGTTTTATTCTTGCTGAGTTTCTTTTTTTTTTTTTTTAAATGAATGTGTCTATGTCCATGGACAGACCTCTGCTGACTGTCTCTTGTTCTATTTTTTAAAGCTGATCAGTGGTGGTTCTATTGTCAGTGCTGAGGCAGTATGGGATCACGTCACCATGGCCAACCGGGAGTTGGCATTTAAAGCAGGAGACGTTATCAAGGTCCTGGATGCTTCCAACAAGGACTGGTGGTGGGGTCAGATTGATGATGAAGAAGGATGGTTTCCCGCCAGCTTCGTAAGGGTGAGCTATTCTCCTTTTCTTATCTTACTCTACTAGATTGTTACTGTTGGTGGTGATCTATGGGCCTGGCCCTGCATTCCTCACTCATTAAAAACTCCTGTTGTCTTCAGGGGGAGGTTGAGTTGTGCAGTGAATGTGGGACCCAGCCTTAGAGCTTATATCCTGGGCATTTCTTCCAAAAACACAGCAAATCTCTATAACCTCCTCACAAGTGGGGCGGGCCAGAAAACAGGAATTCTGCTCCTCAAATAAATTAGAGGTTATGAAATTTGTTTTCATTCTACGTTAAGAAGAAAAGGCAACCTTTTAGAAATGTTTTGATGAAACCTGAAAAAGCAGGAAAAGCCAGAGCAAGAGAGAGATGCACCTTGGGGCACTGGCCTGTGATGTGGGAGACCCAGAGGGTCAGACTTTGTCCTTCTGGAGCTGTTCTGCCGTCTAGAATTAATTCAGCATTTATTGAGAGAGAGACTGATTCAAGGCAGTCGTGGCATGTAGGACACCTAGACTCAAGCCCCTAGTCTTCTTGATTGAGAACAGGGACTTACAAAAACTGTTATGTTTCCACAAAAATGGTTTGGTTTTGATGAATTGTTCTTGTGTGCTTTAAAATAGAAAAGACAAAAAATCTACCAGCTGTACTCACAGACAGTCATCCTTTCAAAGGGACGTGGAATGATCTTCCATTGTTTCCAGTCCTATACTGAAGCAGATTTTTTGCTACACTCATCCAGCTCTCATGGGGGCTAGAAGAACCCACTGTAGCAACACAATCCTTTTCATACATACGAAAGCTACTAGAACCCATTCAATTTATTTATTTAGTCTTCTAAGAGCAAGAGCATGAGAGGACACCTTCTTAGCTATTGTCACTGCCTGCTGTCTTAATAGGATTGTTTCACAGGCTTCTTCAGGGAGTCAGGAGCCAGCTGCCAACTTAAACACCTCTCCTCCTCGCTCTTTCTTTCTGTGATCTGATAGCAGTAATCAGGATCAGAGCAGGCACAGCCCTGCTCCCATTATGTATGGCTTGGAGGGAGATAGGGAACAAACAGGGCAACAGGATTGGCTCCCAGGGATCCTAACCATAGAGCTGCGTCTGCTAGAGCAAAGCTGACACTGCTACAGCAGCAGCTGTGAGAGCAGCAGCAGTAGTTTGGGGAGGTAAACCTTCACTTCATTATGTCCCCCTCCAGCCTCACCCTCATGTACAGTGGCTGGCATACCCCTGCATTCCCCCATCCCTGCCCTAGGTGCTCAGTAAGCTGGCTACACCTCTGATTGGTAGGAGTTTAGGAGACATAGTGCAGGTATGCACAATATTTCTCCCCCATTAAGTTATCTGAAGTGGCCTCTTTCCTTTAACTTCTCAGGCAAATTGACAAGTTCATGGAAGGGGAGGCTGCTCAAATGAAACATGTGGCGAAGCCCACGCAACATCCAGAAGTTGTCCTCTGTCCCTCTCGATTAAGTCCACTTTCTTGCCTTTCCTTTTCTTTTCTTTTTTTTTGGGAGGGGGTGGGGGGCCTCAGGATCAGCAAGACTTTCTTGCATTGAACAATTACTTCTTGGTGATCTATAGGAGGCAATGTTCAGCAACACCTGACCTATGTGCCCTTTCCCCCTCTCCCCCTGCCCCGGTCTTCACTCAGCCTTTCGATTATGGGACCTGAATGTGCTCCTGTCAGTCCTGACCAGCGCTAAGATCTAGAGACCTGTAATTGGCAAGAAAACGTGGCCACCTTCATGGTCATGTCCAGCCTGACGGCCAAACTAAATTTCCATTCTCTCATTTTGTGCAGTTCTGCTTCCAATGAAACCATTAAGAGTTCTGAAAATTGATTTTTCTGTCACTTTGTCAAAATAATGATCCAGTCTGGGAGCATATTCCCCATCTGTGCTGCAAAAAGCACCTGCAGTTAGAAAGGTTGAGTTTTAAAAATCTAATTTTCTTTATTTACATCTGTTTAACATTTCATTCAACTCGGAGAGTAAAATTAGTTTGGTAGTATCACTTTGTCAGTCGCAGTCACTAAACCAGTACTGTTGTATATGGGTTGCAGGGGGAGATGTTTAATTAAAGTTTTATGTAATCATGTACATGTTTCTTTTCATACTAGGTTTTATAAACAGTCCCATCATCCACCATTCTGCCCTCTTTTAAGCATACATACACAAATCCATTTACTTTGGGCCCTGAACTCATTGATCATTTGGATCAAGCCTCTTAATAATTTAGCTGCCCCTGAATCTATTCAAATGGTAGGAAGATGACTTTAGAAAACAAAAAAGACAAAGCAGATCAGAAAAATGTATCAGATTTTGGATTCATTACAGCTTAATAAAATGGATTGACACTGCAAGTAGCCCTGGTGTGCCAAGGGAAGTGGTGACCTTTAAGTGCAAGTTACTTGCAATGTCATTTAGTGTTACAGCCTCATGGCCTGACATTTCCCTACTGACATCAACTTTCCTATTACCTTCCTTGGGGGAGGATCAGTTCCTCTGATTGTGAGACACTTGTTCGATGGGCTTTGAATCCAGAGTCCCAATCTAGAAGTGACCCATGGGCAGTTGACAAGGGAGGCCAGTCTTCCCTGCTGTCACCACACTCTGATAATTAAGATTTAAAGATGGATACAAGGCATTTCGAAAAGACACAAGCAGAAGACTGCCAAGGGGCAGCTCTGCAACAGAAGCCACAGGGGAAATCCCAACATTTCAGTTTACAAAACAGAGATGTGTCTTCCCTGAAGTAAATCTAGCTGTAAGCTGCCACATGCCAAACCATCTTGCCGTTGTTTATGAACTGTGAAAACTAATGCTATTTGGGCTGTAAAGTTCCCCTCTTCTGGACTGGCTGAGGTTGCTACTAATCTCTGGCTTCTTCATTTCTATTCTTGCAAATTCTTTTTTCTTCTTCTTCTTTGTTTACTAAGAAAATCTTCAAGCCTGTTTCTTACCAGGTGACTGCTACAACTTCAGGGGGTCATCTGGTCCAATTGCTGTATCATTTCATTAGCTTGTAGAACAAGCACTACCTTTTACAGGTTTCTGTGGGCTTGAGAGTCTACATGCACATCTCTTCATTCACCCATCAAGAGCCCTTAATCCAGTGCAGATTTAGTTTTTCCTGCTCCTCCATCCTCTTCCTTCACTGTGTACTGTGTAGGAAACTGACTATTTAACAGAAGGGACTATGCTTTTTCCATCTATTTATTTTGAGCTATATATTTTCTTGGTGATTGCTGTGCTTTGTGGCCACCCAGAGCTGTTCTGATTTTACTTAGATGTAAAACATTGGTGGTTTCTTTTTATATTCTTAGTTTTAATCAAGCCATCATATGAAGGACAAAACTATATAGTAAGCAGAGGATCAAAAGCAATATGACAAATACAAACCCAGATCGCAGAGGGACAAGACTGATCAGAGTACTTAGAAACACTCTGAGAAGAATTTCATGAGGGCACTGTTTTAGAAAGAAGGAATTTCACAAGGCAGACTTGGTACATGGTGTTAGTAACAGGCAGATCTTAAGGTCTGGAATTTCACTGTGGGGATCGAAAATGTCAATCCTTATCAGAACCATTTGAATATTTTCTGCCCTAAAAACCCCTGTAAATCTTAGTTTCCATTGACATTTCTGGTGCCTCTTGACTCCTCTGAGACCAGGTGGGCAGTAGCTGGGGGAAAAAAGAAGCCAGAAATAGGGGAGGGGAAGCCCTGTACCATAGTGTGTAATAGGTAATGCTTCCTGGAGGTAACCATCCTATACTCATGGAGAGGAGAGACAGCTGAAACTTCTGAAATCATTAGAAGCAGACATGCACTCCACAGTTCTTCAGATTGTTGTCTAGATAATGTGTGTGGTTTGGATCAGACTGAAATATCTACCACATAGGTAACTGCATGCTGACAATTAAACATCCCAGAAGAGACTGCAGAAGAATGCAGGAGTGATCTGATAGGGTGCAAGTGTCAGCCTTGTTTTAGCTGCATGCTGTCGAGAGAGCTTCACGTGAACTGACTGGGATCTGACACGGCAGGACTTAGGTGTGGAAAAGCAGGACGAATTTTAGTAGAGATTCCATAGTTTTACAGCAGCAGTATAGCTGGCCATTGGTGCCTCTTCTACACTGTAGGGGGAGGTGTTCCTTCACTTCTAGCATTGGTACAATAGCGTATGCATGAATGAGCCTGCTGCTGTATTTGCATGGTATTCCCTGGCTGGCTCCACCACATGCCAGTATGTCCAGATCCTATTTGTGACCTTAGAAAGGTAAGGTGGGCAGAAACATTCAGGTACTGCAGAATTGATGATCACCATGCAGTAGGTTTCCTCCAAGGATACCACAAGCTCCAGACCCAAAACTGTTCTCTCTGCTCCATTGCTGAGGAGGACTTTTAAGCCAGATGGATCAAGCCCTGCAGCTGAAGTACTTGTCTTGCTGAGCCAGAAAAGAAGGGGTTGATTTATTTATAAAACATTCCAAGAAAACAGGGTGTCTTTGGGGATATATTTCCCAGTACCTAAACTTCAGTGATTCTCAGTTATAGCTCTTGAGGAGAGGTGGGGAGTGATGTGTAGCCCTTGAAGCACTGAACCAGGACTATGTAGAGATTCCACATGATCAGTTTCCTGCATTTATGGTGAACACGTGCAAGTGCATTGATCACCCTTGTTCCACCTTGTCATTCTCAAGGTTTCCCTGGCTGTTGCTGTTCTAGGCTGATGTACTTGCTAAAATGCTGCCTTGACCCACTTTACTTTTCTTCTAGTGAAGAGGAAGCACTAGATAAATCCTTGCAAGCTTTTAAAGCACTGTTTATAGAGACATACTAAATCGAAGTCTTGTTTAAGTGCTTAACAGCTCATATGCTCTACTTGGCAGGTGTGTTTAACTTTTATTAATGGGACTTATGATTCTCCTTTCTATTGTACAAAGATTATTCCAAGGGTCATGCCTTGCTGGTTTTTTCTTTCCATCTTTTTTCCCCT